AGGATCTGAAAAACAGAATTAAATGTATTATTTTCATATGAATAAATAATAAAATTATTTCCACTTACAAATTTCTTTACTTTTGTATTTGATAGTTTTGGAATAGATTCAACTTCTTGAATTAGCTTCATGTTTCCTCTTGGGACAGTTGTATTCATGTTTTGATGGCTCCAAATGAATTTCTTATTTAATAAAAATTTGCAAGTTAAATATCATACAAAGAAGTCAATCTCACAAAAAAAAACTCAATAATTTATTTTATAAAATCTTTATGGAACCATCAGTACTCTAGACATTGACTACATAATCCACTAGATGTAGGTATAAAATTGCAAATGCCATGACCTTTTTATGCAGTTACAATGAAAAATTGGTCAATTTACTTTATTATCAAGTTATGTCAATAAACTTGGCATTGAAACATAGTTAATAAATCAAATGTTAGCATTATATAAGTTTTAATATTTTCATTTCAAAGTGATATATATAGATGAATTGTCCAATAATTTGAATTTGAACAGTGTTTTTGATTAACACTGCCACAGGACATCAAGCCTTAGCTCAAATTAACCCTACAGTATTGTAAAAAAAATTAGGCCAGATAAAGGATGTACATTTTTCAGTAGTAATTTCTGTTACAATAAAATATTTCGGTAAAAACGTGTCTGATTTCTGGAAAAGAGAGGTTCCAATTTTTAGTTTTTTATTTACATTGTTGATAAAAGGAAAAAAATTGGGAAGTATAAAAAGAGTCTGATTTTAATGGAATTCTGGTTTTGAGGGATTCCACTGTATGTTGTTACCAACACATCTGAGATCCTTCATTGAGGATTGTGCAAACAATAAAGTCCCGATGTATCAAAAGGGATTCAGTGACTTATTGGTTAAGTATGCTGATTTTTTGTGGGTCAAACAATAGTCACTCACCACATCACAGATAGAGGTAACACACTTCCAATAAAACAAATTCGTGCCAGCTTTTTGTAGCACTAGGGACTTGGTAAGCACCAAGATGGAGCAAATGTTGAAGGACAGGACGATATAACCTTCGAAGAATGCTTGGTCCAGTAGTGATTGTCAGATCCTAGGAAGGTATGCCAAGATTCTGTGTTGATTTTAGACAGATGAATCCGGTAACTGGTATTGATGAAAATTGGAACACGTTTCTAGATTACCATTCATTCAAAGCTTTAGATATGGCTTAATGACATTGATAAATCGAGCTGGATGACGATAATAGACTTAAGAGTGCTTGTAGCAAGAGAGATGGCTTCTATGGGTTCCATATCATACCATTCAGTCTGTGTAACGTGCCTGCCACTTTCGAGTGGTTAATGGAACTTACATTGAAGAGTCTGTAATAAAAGAGATGCTCGATCGTCATCAACGATGTTTTGATATTTGGTTGCATGTTCAAATCTGTGACTAATAACCTGGGATTGGTATTCAAGAGAATAAATAAAGTAGGCTTGAAACTTAAGCCAGGAAAATGTGCACTCGTGCACTCAGAAGTCGAATTTCTCAGTTATATTGTAGGTAGACATTGATTCCTTATAGACCCTGTTAAGACAACATTGCAAGAGACTGGCATCAACCTGTTATCAAGCGAGAAGTCCACAGTTTCCTCAGTTTTCCATCGTATTACCGATTATTTGTGACCAACTTCCCCAAATTAGCAGCACCATTGTCAGCTCTTACTAAAACTGGGACTCACTTTGAATTAAATGAAGGATATGACCAAGTATTCGAACTCCCAAAGCTTGCTTTAGAGGACAAGACAGTATCTACCTATTGGACACCAACAACAGTGTTAATGTAGATAGGGTGGTGTTATTGCAGTTGCAGGATGGAGTAAAACATGTAACTGTGTACACTAAATATATGCTCATGACTTTTAAAATCAGATACTGTATAATCATTTTCAGTTGTATTCTTTGTTACATACTATCACTTCTACTTGTATAGTAGGAGGTTAACCATTTGGGTAAACCATGCTTCACTGAAATGTGCAATGAGCTTTAAAATTCTGGAAGGGATGATAAGTATTTGGGTAGCAATGTTTCAAAATATGACTATTATAATGCATTGCCCAGAAGTGTGGATAGATTATCTCTCCATATGGTGAAACCCTGTACATCAAATGACCTGGTTCTGGACAATGTGTGAGAGTTGAAATAATTTCTGCCATAGCAACACCAAGCTCTGCAGTAGGAGATTCCTTTAGTAGGCGGATGCCCCAATTAACAATTCAAGAGTTCCAGCAAGAGCAACTGAAAGACCCAGATCTAGCAAAGGCATTCCTTGCCATGTAGCAAGGTAAATGCTGTATGGCATCTGTATGTAATCTGTGGCACTTGTTTCATCAATTATGTGTACAGGAAGATGTGCTGTACCATTATTGTAAGTCATCAAGCTCTGTTTCTCAGGCTATGCTGCAGCTAGTAGTCTAGAGTACTAAGTCAAGAGATTACCCAGTCTTTGCTTAACATCAAGACTGGAAGACACCAAAGTATTACTCAGCCTTTTGCTAACATTCAATGGCAACTCTTCTGGCGGAATCCAGCTGAACATATACTCTGTACCTTGTACCTGGTCCAATTATGTACAAGTTATAGCACCATGAAGCACATGAAAATGTGTGGAACACATAGATAAGCTGCATCCATACATCACAGACAATTTGGTGAAATAGTTCATCACAACCAAGGTTTATTTATTCCCACTATTACTCTGAGGTAGAAGTCTAAACATATTGACAGCAATTTTCTCATGTGGTGTTCCAACACAATACTACTGTAGCTCTCCGTGTTGTTTCTTTCATGGAACTTTTCATTCACAGCATATTTCACAGGAGTTTTACCTATTCTTTACAGGCCGTTTCACCCTATCCAATAAAAGCACTCTCTTATTCTCTCCCCTGTCTTCTAAAAGTGTCCAGCTGTTGGGAGGTTGTGGAGATGATGGAGCGCTTCAGAATATAGGACAATGAAAATACTAACTGTAGTCGTTGTTTGTGTCCACTAATATCTTCCCATTTCGTGAGGGGACCTCCCAGGGAAGGTCCTATATCTTCAGTTTACCTCCTGGCATCCCACGAAAGGGAGGAGAGGATCTTGGTTGAGGGGTGTCATTTATGGGTCAGTTTATGTCAGTGACACTTTCACACATCGATTTGGCCTTGAATTTCTGCAGACTGGCGGCCTTGAGGTGGCTCACTCAGGGTCAGTTGGTTGGTCTTGTTGGGCTAGGGTCAATCAAGTACCAGTGTTGGACGTTTGCAATGGGTGTTGTGTACATTGTTTCTGGTACTGGTGTTTAGGTATAGTGCCCACAAAGCCCTGATATCTCTACAATTCTTTGTTTTAGTATTGTAGTGCTTTCCCTCGTAGGACTCCATGGTGGGTGGGGTCAGTGAGCACTGACATTTCTCTATTTTGTATGGATCCTGCACCAATGTTTAAATCTATCTTAATTCAGATAGAGCATCTAAAGTAGAATCAATCCTTAGCAGTAGGTAGGCATCCTTTGTGACTTCATTCACCTTCTGGTATTCCATACAGAAACTTATGGATCCATCCTTCTTCTCTGAAAGTATTAATACTCAGTTATATTGCTCCTTGTTCCTTCATAACTTCTATCTCCTTGTAAACCTTGGTCAGTTTTGCAAGTGGTAGTCATCTGGCTATCTGATATGCTGTGGTTGAATCTCCAGTATCATCGTAAGGTGTAGGGAAGCTTCTTCCAATAAAGGTAACTTCCAACTTTCTTCTTCCTGGAACTTTATGTCCACTTGCCATTTACACTAATACATCCTTTTTCCTCATCTCTGAAGCCAATTTCTCATCTTTCATTACCAAACTGGGTCTAACTATTGTAGTTGAAGAATCGGAGTTGATACATACTGCGAGGCTTCCCATCAATATGCCTGATGACTTGTGGTATGTTTCTTTAAATAGTGAAATTCTTATCTCATTTAAGGCTCTGTAGAAAATCTTTTTATTCAATGAAGCAAAATGGTGAATTTCCTGAATCAATATGATAAAAATTTGACCTTATCTAAGTAGTCAACCAACCACAGTACGTTATAGAAAGCTGTTAGTTTGAGAACGTGATTTCCTTTTTAATAATATGTCTGAGCGTAAACATAAGTCCTGATGCGCGAGTCTGCTAACCGCTTACTCATATTTATAAATAATGTATCCTTGCCTCTAGATACTAGACAATCCTTCTCTTTTTAGCAAACAACTAAATTATAACATTGACAATTTAACTTACAATAATGATATCACAGGTTTACAGTTTCCATTCACTTTAAAAGATGTGTTTTCTGCTGAGGATTCTACATTATTCTTTAGCATAACACCATTTAATCATGGCTATCTCCTGTTTCTTCAAAGACGTATCTCTTTCTGACTGTCTTTAACTTTTCAAATACCGGTTTCCTCGTGAAATCTGAATTTTATTATTATTTTGATATTTTTCACAATAAATTTTCTTTAAAGTATGATTATCTGTTTCATTCCATTTCAAGACTAGTTCTGTGCTTAGGTGAGGACAGCCTGTTATTGTAAAATTCAACTTGGACTCGTGGTATGGGCCAATAGTTTCGGTATACGTCAGTCTCAAACTCAAATAGTTTGTTTATTTGTTTCCGAATTTTTGCGCCAAACTTTATAAAGGGCTATCTTTGTATAGCCTCTTCTAATTTTCAATTGATAGGATAGAGAGAAGTCAGCTAGTCAATAGGATATACCGCAAACTCTTCTCTGACCATATATAATGGGATTTTATCATCACTCTTATAGCACACTCATGTTCCAAAGTGCGAAAAGCGTTTTGTGGCAACGAGACGCGAACCATGAATCCCATTATTCACAGTACGAGTAAGCTAACTACTACCACTAGAACCTAGGACATGCGTAGCCTTACCCAAAAATATGAAATTTTGTTTTTGTATACACGGACTGAAATTGGACTAGAATACATATGTGCATAAGAATAGTGTTGTTGATGTTAGAGGGCATCATAAAAGTACTTAAAAATGGCAGACGATAGTGTTTTTAATGGAGAGGAACAGAATGACAAGAAAAACATAATTAACGAGGAAAGTTCTTGGAATGAAAACAGTGAGTAAACATCGACAAAGTATAATTTTTAACAGGATATAGATAACTCTTTTATTCAACTTGGTTAAAATGCAGTGAAGTTGTATGAATTGAACTTCTAGTTCTAAATTTTTAAATTAGTATTACTAGTATTAGTGACGAAGCCCTTAAACTAAAAGTAAAACTTAAAAGGTAAAACTGAAAAGCAGTATAAGTTATAACTATAAGTTAAAATTGTAATGTATAAAGTATAAAATAAAAAGAGTTTATTGCAATTACTATGTAGGTCTGTGTAATTTTATTTTTAGTTTATATTTTTTTATGTGATATGCGTTATGACTGTCCAGTATTAATAATATCTTGTTATAACATCCATTTTCAAAATATAGTTTATTGGCAATAGTGATATTACGGTCATAAGTTGCATAATTGTACTGTAATTTATTGGCCTAATGCTATCACTGACAACTTTTATTCTGAAAAGTTAAGTAACAAGTTTTATACTACATATTGAACTAACTTAAAAATCACATTGATATTGATAGTTACAGTGGCTCTTGATTTACATTGGTTGTCTACATTGACTCTTGACCTTTAGCTTTTGTTACTACTTGTACTATAGTAATAGTAATACTAGAGACATAATTAATAAAGTTAATGTTGACATACTACAGTACAAAGTTGATTCCATCCAGTGGTAAGTTTGACAGATAGTTGGCAAATGACCTTTATTTATAAAAAGTGAAAGGTAAACCATTTTAATTGCTCTAAGTTGGGTCATTTTGTTTTTAGACAGAGTAACTGATGTAATTAAAGGATTTTGGGATAGTGGTAGATCACTTACTCAAGCTACTGAGGGAGTGTTTTGTTTCTAGTTGTAAAACTAATGTAGTAAGGTAACCATATTATACCTAAGCTAATAATAATACAAAAAGAAATGAAATGTAAGGGTATTTTGAGGTTTTTTTTTTCCTCAGTAATAACATTCCTCATCCAGGGATGTACAATCACCCTAATTTGCAGACATATTGATTACAAGTCAAAAGGAATAATTATCTCTATTTTATACAAATTGTTTGTTAGTCCTCACCTGGAATATTGTGTATCTTTGGTCTCCTTATCTAAGAAAGGTATTAACTTACTGAAAAATTTTCAGAGGAGGACTACTAGGATAGATACAGTGATGTGTTGTTATGTGGGGTAGGTTAAGATATCTTAATTTATTTTATTTTTGAGAAAAAAAAAAAAGGTTAAAATGGTCTTATTACAGTTAACCGTATCATCTGAGTAAACAATAGGATAAAGGTCTTTTATTTCTTTATGCTGAATTCCTAAAATCATAGGGTAAGAGGATGGAGAGGATAGAAGTTTAAAAACTGGAAAAGAACTGGCTATACTCCAGGTTTATTTTTGTAAGGGTACTTGACTTGCAGAATGAATTGCCATTAGCATTAGTAGAGGCCAACATCTTACAAGAGTTTAAGGGGAAGAATCAATGGTTTACTGAAAACTAAAGGGTGAGAATAATTTTTCCTTTTTTTTTTGAAACAGGTGTGTGTGCAGGAACAGCATTGTAACTTGTAAGACCAAGTAGTGTTAACGAATGTACCATACTTGTTTTGTGGGAACTACCATAATATTTCTTCTTTTACACTCAACATGACACAAAGCTTACTTGTAAACCTTTTTAATTTGATACTTTGTGAGTATGAAGATTTCTTCTAAAACACAGCTTGAAATAGATACGTATAATGGATTTTTGTATTGAAATGACATTGTGCTTTTAGGCTAGTAATATCAAGTAACCAGTGTGTCAGTTTTGGTGACTAGGCATGACTTTTATGGGGTACATGTTGAGCCTGAGGACTTCGTTTACTGTTCTTTTCAAGTGTATGGTTATTGGGTTTATATTTAAAATAACCACTGATTAGTTTGTGGTACCCAACAGTTTATGATTTGTTATATGTGCATGCATTTAAAAATAAATTCGTGCCACTCCTGATTCTAGTGAACACCTTTCCTATGGTCTGGTATATAAGATAAATATGTTTCTTATACTGAGGATTAGTGTGTTCTTTGTTTGGGTTCACGTTAGTGACCCTTTCAGGAGTGCTTCATTGGGTTGTGTACAGGATGAATTACTTCACAAAGTCCAAGGCTTAAATGAAAGATTATCAGGGACATGCTTAGAGAATCAATTGGCTGGATGGTCTTGTAGAAGATATTCAGATTAGATTGAATTATATGCTATAGTTGGGCTCTGTTTAAGCAGGCTAGCTAGCAGGGTTTTTAGGGAAGATTTAAAAAATCTTGTTAAAGATAGCATACATTAAATGTGATGAGGGAGTTTAGGAAATTGTGAATAAAGAAATAGATAAGGTAGCCAGGGCTTAGCGGAGATTGGAAAAAATTTAGGACACAGGTTAAATAATAGTTTGAAAAAAAATGTCAGTTAAAAATAAGCTTAGTTGCTATTAATTTGTTGTTAGGAGTATTGGTAACAAAATGGATGAGTTCAGGGCTCAAATTGAAAAGGAAGGCTGTGAAAGAATGGGAATTAATAAGTTACTAAAACTTTTTTTTTAGATTTAAAAAATGTTAACAATGAAAATTATTTTTAAATTCCAGGTTTTAAACTACTTAATTGTAATACCTTTTTGAAAAGAGGGAGTAGAATGGCCCTCTATATAAGTTTTAAGCTACAGCTTGTTGGGACTGAAGAGAAAAAATCAGTAGTCAAAGAGTAGAAGGTTTTCAATTGGCAGCTGTTACAGGCCATCTAGTCAGACAGATGCTATCAATGAGAAATTGTTTAATGAGATAAAGGTTGTTATTAATAAAGTTACTGATACAATAATTTTGAGGGGAGATCTAAATTTTTGTACACATAGTTTGAGGTTATATGAAGCTAAGTAGTGAGAAAGAGAGGTTATTGAGGTGATTCAGTATGATTGTTTAAGCTGTATGATCTGAAGAAGAGTGCTAGCTCAAAATGTCATCCTCTTAAAATAAAAATATAAAAAACTTGACAATTTTTTAACCTGTTCTTTAAGTTACTTTATAATATGGTTATGGAGCCAACCGGAGGGGATGTAATTTTAGATTTATTATTAACCAATAATGAGGATGAGGTTACAAGAGTTCAAAAGTTTCAGAGAACCTCTGTTCACCCATTTTAAAAATAAGAGTAACATTAATAATTCTACAGTCTTTAGGCACTTGCCCATTGTCTATTGGCTACCAAAAAGAGAAGCTTACACATCTAATCTTTGACCTTCTTTAAAATCCTGGGGAAAACCATGGCTGGACTTGGTCTTTATCTAGTTTATTGTTTTAATCTTTCTATTTACAGTCAAGATATGTAATAGTATTTGCTAATTGATTAATTGTTGACCATGATAATCGATTATTACAGTGTTCCTCAATCCATGGTGACTATGATAAAAAAAAAGGGTTGGCAGTGAGTGTTGGCAGCCATTTACCTTCCCTCTAATTAGCAGTTGAAGAAGGAAAAGTAAGCAAAAAATGAAAAAAATGTGGCAGCATGTACTGCCAAATAGTTATCATCTTTCTAATCAGCAGTTCAAGAGTGAAAAAAACAAAACAAAAGTTCATGGCAGGTGTTGCCAGTCAGTTGCCCTCCCTCTGGTCAGCAGTTCAAAATTAGTGATAATGGCAGATAACCATAAAAAACTTGAAGTAAAAAAAAATTAAAAGAATAAAATTAGGCAGAGCACAGACAGCCCATTATGTAGATTTGTGCTTAACAACAATCACAGCATATTTTGATTACTTGGACAGTAGGAATAATCAGAAATACTAGTAATTGGAAATCTTAATTTCAATTAGTTGATTATTCTTGTGCCATTAAATTTAATTGTAATTGCAAATAATCAGTTTGTTGAAATAACCAAAAATAGTAACAATCAAAAACACTCATTGTGATTAGTTGGTTATTTTTGTGACATTTGACATAATTGAAACTTTGATTAATTGATTGTTGAAATAACCAAAAACAATAATAATCAGAGATACTAATTTTGATTAGTTGATTATTTCCAAAACATACTTACTTCCACTCCCACTTACAGCTATTACTCGACTGCTAAGGTTGCTTCTTTTGCCCATCTGAACATTGTTCTGATTTTTTCTCACTTCCTCCAGTCTTTTATACCCCACTCAATTGTCCTTGGAGATATTTATCTTGTGACTCTCTCTCCACCCATATCAATACACCCTCTATCCTGGTACTGTACTACAACTGTTAAAGTCATTGGGTGTGATTTTCGCATCACCTAGTTGATTTATGTTAAAAGAAAATTCATATATATGTTTTCCCTTTGTTATGACACGCTGTTTTCAGGCATGAATTCCTGGGTTACTGTTTCTTGCATGGAGCCTAATCAGATCTCTTGTATCCCAATTGTTATATTTAGTGTCTCTCAACATTTTTTTTGGGGGGGAGGGGGGTCACTCTCAATTAAAGCTATCCGTGATCTGATTCATAGTGAGATGGAGACATATATTCAGTCCTGGGGTGTTTCTCGGGAAGGTGGGTCCAAGACTGCTTTTGTTGATGATCCAAGGCATTCTGGAAAGAATTTACACTTGCTTTTTCCAGTGCATTTATTTACTAGATCAGCTTCTCATGAGGCCAATTTGGATCAGCCACTTCCAGCTTCTTTTCTTCAGTTGGTCACTCAGGTGTGTGAGGTTCTGGGGTTTTCTGCAGTTGCTTTTGAGTCTACACCTTTTTTGATGGCGGAAAGGTCTGAGGGCATTTACTTAGTTTTTTCTCCTTTACCTGATATTGTTGCTCTTGTGGGGAGGTTTAATGCTCAGTTATGTGAAGGGATAGATATGCCTTGTCTGTCATGTCAGGATCCAGACAAAGACACTTAGACAATTCCATGTTGTAGAGATCAGTAGGTTTGTTCAAAGCCAGTCAAACACAATTAGTTGTAGCAGAGTGGCTACAAGTGTTACAAAGTGTGATTAGCAGGGTTTGAAATTTTTTCAGATCACCATTACAATATGCCAAAGATCTGGACTGAGTAGACTATAGTTGACAACCTTGCAAAACAACCACTGTATGAAAAAATGGACGTGATACAACTGGCTGTTTCATCTTTTTCACCAGTAAAATGTATTTCTTGTAACAATAAAAATGTTCTTCTGAATATGTAACACTAATGCATCCACACACACACAAATTATATGCTTTTCATTTGTTACAAAAAACCTTAAGTTTAGAACCATAGGTGGATGACACGTCAGCATGCAAATGGACAGAAATAGGTTTTATAAGGTTGGGTTTTGTGACAAAAGACCAATGGTATAGTTTTTTTACCTATTGCTACAAAACAACCTATTTTTAGTGTTGTCAAGAGTGTGTGGATTGGTCAAACATTAGGTGGATGAATGTCTTGTTAAAAGATAAATCACAGTTCACACTAAAAGAAGATATGAAGCTTTTGTGCATTTGGAGATTGGCCAGGACCATATCTAAGCCAAATTTCATCAAGGAAAGACATATATGTCTAGACAGGGATTACTATTGATGGTTATACTAACCTTTTTGCAACAAAATAACATTATAAGTGCCATATGTTATATTGTTGCAATCTTACAACTATTAGTGTTGGCATAAGCAGGTCAGTTGATCACAACTTTTTCCTAATGAACGTTAAAGTGCATCCCTGTTAGGAGAACTGTTAAACAACTTTTTGAAAGAAGTGGTATGAAGCAAATTGATTTGCATCCACCTTAAATATATTTGAATCCATCTGAACATGTATGAGATATTTTAGAAAGATGATTGGTAGCATATGATTAACTTTTGAGTAATTATTGATGAACTGAAGGCAACTATAATGTATGTGTGGGCCATATTACTCCAGTGACTTACTTATTCACTCATTTTTAGAATGTCACAAAGTTCTCCGACTTGTATTTGTGTTGAAAGTGATCATATGCCTTTTTAACAAACATTTGCTAACCATTTTTTTGGCTGTAAAGTATTCAGCACCAAAGTAGCAACTGTGGACATAAGACTTCATTAGTGGGCATTTGCTCATCAGAGGATATTTTTTGCATAAAATTTAACTTGGAGTGCCATTAGCATTATTTAATAATAGTAGTTGTTCATTGTCATAGCTAGAATATAGAAAATTCTGACTATTCTAGAGTTGTTTTGTAACTATTGAAAGATATTTCATTCTTTTTTTATGTATTATTGTTATATTCAGAAGCATGTTTTATTTATTACAAGAAATGAATTTCAGTAGTAAATATTATACTGCATAAATAAAGCAGAACCAGTAAATCAAAGTTCCGAATAATAAGACTTGATATGATTTTAAGAAACTGTTATTTCTCCTATTAATTTGATTATGACATGCATAAATTCTCTTAAGGTTTGAAGGAGTGATGTACTGTACTACAAGCTATTTGTGGACAAACAAATTATTACATGTTTAGGGTCAGTTAAAGTTATTAAAGAAAACCCAGTAACAGACGATTTATTTGAGTACTGATACATAAAGTAGAAAATGGCTAAATTTGGGCATTAACATTTATAATGTTTGTAAAAAGTAGTTTGTCTCTAACCATAGGCAGTTCTATTTACCAGATAATATTATTTCAAAACCATAATAAAATTAGGATATTATTTTTTAAGGAGAGTTTCTGTTTTATAGGTTCAGATGTTAACCCAGATGAAGCTATTCTTGCACAAGTAAAAGAAATTGAGAGAGAGGTAAGACAGTGTGCAGATTTAAAACTGTGCACATATTTAAATATATATATATATATACAGTAGAACCTCAATTAATAGGCACCTCAAAACAACAGGCACTGCACCATTAAGGGCTGACCTTTTCAGTCTGTTACTTTTTTCTACTGTTTGTAACCAAAATAAGTATTGTAATAACAGGCGCTTTGATATTCTGGATTAAGGGCAGTGTCTTTAGTCTTATTCTTTATACGGGCACTCGATAAAGCAGGTAGTTAACCCTTTCTCTGTGGGCTGGTTAAAGTGCACATGTCATGACCTTTTACAGAGTTATTTTCAAAGTTTTATTAAATAACTTTTCTATTACTCATAACACTATGAGTATTCAAAATCTTTGTTTTTTGAAGTATTTTTTATTTATTCTTTTATGTTTTAATAAAAATAACTAAAATTTAAGCATTTGTCAATAAAGAGTATTTATTAGTTGATGAATAAGTTTGCTGAAAGGGAAATAGGATTTTATAATTCTGGCTCATTTTTTATATTAAGGGCATCTTGCTATAGAGGGCATTTGGACACAGTCAGGAGGGTGCTCTTAATGTTAAGGTTCTACCATATGTAAGCATATGTTTCAATCAGTATATGCATATGTACATAGTAAGCTATCTTAAAACTTCTTAGAATCAACTCATAAGTTTTGATATTTTTAAGATTTTAGAAATAGAATAATGATCTTTATATATTTAAGTTATCCCATTTTTATGTATATAACAAAACTGGTAAAACCGTATATTTGTAAATGTATTTATTGTTATATTTAGATTGCAGATGTGGTTCCTCTGATTGGACCTCTAATTGATTTGTCCTGCCTTCAGAATGAGTATGCAGATGATGATAAGGTATACATCCAAAAAATAAAGGTAATGCACTAGTTTCATATGTATATCAGAATATCTTTTATTAAGTTCTGAAACAATGTGTGAATATATCATAATTTACTGTTTAGAAAAAAAGCCATTATTTTATAAATTTTCAGTTATGTAATGGATTAGATTTTGTACATACAAATTCCACACCACACATTTAGGTTTTTGAGCTTTAGGTTAAATTCTCTCAATGAAATTCAACTTTAGCTATAACTTATTTTATAACTAATTTTGTGATGTTTGTGATGTTTTAAACTAAATAATCTAGTACATAATGCCCCCAACGTTTAATGCTTTGGTAGCAAAGATACGTGACTACCCTTTCAAAGGAATGTTACCCCTTGTTCGTTTTTTTTACACACACACACACACACACGCATATATATATATATATACTAGCTGTACCCGGCCACGCGTTGCTCAGTCTGGTTAAATGGAAAAGAAAGAAAAGAGAAAGCGCATGTTTCTAATATGTTTAATTTCACAATACTTGTGGGTATACAA